CTGCACTCTGTTCACCACGGGGAATCGTACTCCAGATTTTAGCTTTTTAAACCCCAAAACATACCGCTGACTCAACGGGGAGTACTGTTTGTTACCTGTTTTATAGAATATCAGTATATGCTGTAGGTAGGACTTATTTTAAAAAATGCAGTTCAGTTCGGCAATTATTGGGAATTAGTTAATCTTGCTTGTTATAAATTTCGTAAATATTAAGCGAATATAAAGTAATTAGGTTGTTTTACATTAGATGAAATCTACAACTGCATTGTCCAGATACACAAATGTCTCTCGCCGAGTTATCTAATCGATTATAATAAATATAACTGCTCGGAAGTTATGAATACGCAACTAATTCATTACTAACCACAGTGTTTTAACACCTGTCAGCATAGCTGACAAAAGTGATAAACTTTTGTGTTAAAATATTAAGAGCACAGTATATGTTAAGACTTTATAATGAGTTTTGAAAAACGGTAATTTATTTTTGTAAATTAAAAGGATAAATATTGATATAGACGCTGACAACAATGAAGCATATTGTTTATTCCAACCTAGCAATTTTCTCTGATAAATTCAATCCCGAATTTTTTTTATATGAAGTGTATAGGTTTTGATGTGCGTGTATGTATATGTATGTAATCTTTTAAGGGGACGAAAACAAACTTTTCGAACACGGTAGATTATATCAAAAACAAAATAGAGGGCGTTATAGTGTTTCAGTAATTAATGATGTTATTTTATTGTTGTATTGGTATCGCATTCGCAACTTATATGGCGCTGTTCAGCTGATCTAATTAAAAAACAGGTAACCAAACGGGTCAAACTAGGCCTAGTGAGTGCTCAGACTCTGAATCAAAGGCTTCAGTTGTTCACGTTTATTACTGCAAAAACGCGCTCCGCACTTTGTTAGCGTAGGTGTGGTGCTATAAGAATTACGATCAAATTCCACTATTTGGTTAGAAAAGAGTAGCCAAAGAATTTGCGACTAGTCTATCAGTCGAAAATGTCAGACAGCACTTGTTTAACAAAATTCACAGATGATAAACTTCTTAAAATGAAGTTTGAAAACATTTGGTTTGGTTTGTTTGAATTTCGCGCAAAGCTGCACGATGGCTATCTGCGCTAGCCGTCCCTAATTTAGCAGTGAAAGACTAGAGAGAAGGCAGCTAGTCATCACCACCCACCGCCAACTCTTGGGCTACTCTTTTACCAACGAATAGTGGGATTGTACGTCACATTATAACGCCCCCACAGCTGGAAGGGCGAGCATGTTTAGTGGGACTGGGATTCGATTTGAAAACAAAATGAGATGAATAATATCCGTAGGAAGGATACCTAAGATTTATAAAAATAATCTACAATTTAAATTTCAAAGATACGAATAGCAAAGACATTTATATGTAACTTAAAATTACCCATTCAGATAGCTCATTGTGAGGCTTTGTGCTAAAACAAGCAAACTTTTAATTACAAATAAAATGGCTTTTAATTGTAAACGTTATTGAGTTGCTAACTTATTAATACAACCAACTTTACAGAATTAGCAACTAAGGTTTTTACACTGAATATTACCAACATTTATATTACAATTGCTCTATTTACAACAAAGTCACCAGTTCAATCTTTTTAACCTTCAGGGAAGCAAAACCTGAATTAACGCCTCATATTCTATGCTCATTTGTGTATCACTGAAATACGCAGTAACTTTAGTTAATATATTTGACTGCTTTCGATTGTATGAAGCAAATAAATAGGTGCGAGAAAAATGTCCATTAAACCCTCTGGATAATTTCTTTAATTCAAACTAATATTTCGTTTTTCGTAATTATTAACAATTTGTACAATATTTATTTTAACGTCGCGAAGATGACTGCTATTAGAACTCTAAATTGATGTGAGAATTGTCAATTTATTTATGTATAATGTTCATTCTCAAAACCCGTTTCAAATATCTCAACTAATATATCTAAAAAATACAGTTATTCGGTCTTTTCGAATGTAAAATTACTCTTTAAAAATGTGGATAAAATTATCCTAGTTAAGTAAGAAACAGTCATTGATATACTAGAGTAAGAAATAGTCATTGATATACTAGAGTAAAAAACAGTCATTAATATACTAGGGTAAGAAATAGTCATTGATATACTAGGGTAAGAAATAATCATTGATATACTAGGGTAAGAAACAGTCATTGATATACTAGAGTAAGAAATAGTCAGTGATATACTAGGGTAAGAAATAGTCAGTGTAACAAACAGTCATTGATATACTAGGGTAAGAAACAGTCATTGATATATTAGGGTAAGAAATAGTCATTGATATACTAGGGTAAGAAACAGTCATTGATATATTAGGGCAAGAAATAGTCATTGATATACTAGGGTAAGAAAGTCATTGATATACTAGGGTAAAAAACAGTCATTGATATATTAGGGCAAGAAATAGTCATTGATATACTAGGGTAAGAAATAGTCATTGATATACTAGGGTAAGAAACAGTCATTGATATACTAGAGTAAGAAATAGTCATTGATATACTAGAGGAAGAAATAGTCATTGATATACTAGGGTAAGAAACAGTCATTGATATATTAGGGTAAGAAATAGTCATTGATATACTAGGGTAAGAAACAGTCATTGATATACTAGGGTAAGAAATAGTCATTGATATACTAGGGTAAGAAACAGTCATTGATATACTAGGGTAAGAAACAGTCATTGATATACTAGGGTAAGAAACAGTCATCGACACAACACAAATATTTACATTAAACTTCAATCTCAGTTCTGTGTTTTAACGTCGTATACATTTGACTTCCAAAAACACCCATCGTCAAAACTAAATAGATAGGTGACATTTTTGTTTTCATAGCCTTTTGTGGTATAATCTTTAGAAAAAAATTATAAATCAGTATAACATCCTGGGTATATGCGTGCGTGCATATATACACGTGTATAGTATTCAGCATTAAATCATTTGTTTTTCAATTGGTAGTAGTGATTTGTTTTTCCTAAGTTCAACCCGCTTTTAAGTGCAACGCGTTGAGGCATCACGTTATGACCCTGTTGGCTACCAATGTACAAAGCCATAACGTCGTGAATCAATCTGCAGTTAAACTTCCACAAAGCGTTGAACATTTGACAGATAAGTCTTTCATTATTAGAAAGCATATCAATTTTCCTGCTGAGTCAGTGGTAAGTTTACGGACTTGGAATGTTAAAATCTGTGGTTCGATGGGCAGGGTGCAGATAGCGCATTGTGTAGTTTTGCACTAAGAAAACAACAAATAATTATAGTCTGAGAACTTCTGTTGCAATGAACGAGTTGTCAAAATATTCTTGTTTCTACTTTGTTCTTCTGTTTGTAGTTGAGGTTGTTGTTGGAAGTGTTTATTTAACAGTTACTTTTAATAAAAAGAACTTGAGGATTTTTTTTTTACATTTCGGTGTACTTCTTTCTACTGATAAAATTCAGATTCAAAATAATTTATCTTTAAACAAAAATTCTGGAAATCTACCTTTAATGCACCTAACTACTACAGACGTTGAATACGTTATATTAAAACGATTCTGGGCTTGTGATATTTGTAGGAAGTAAGATGTATTTAATTAAGTATGGAACATTGTTTTCTGTTTAATTCACAAGATTTCTGTCACATTTTTAGCAACTACACATAGCTAAATTCAATTCAATCAGAAGTTCTGAATAACCTGAAAAGGTATTATTATTATTAGAGCCTGTTTTTGTTTGTTGGATAATATTTGCTGTAGCATGATTTGGATGAACAGTTTCTTAACCTTATGCTTGTGATGCTTAGACACTGTGTATTCGTATCACTACAACATCGTGTTACACAAAAGCAAATTAAGATCGTATGTGAGTCGATTCCATAAAACTATTTTGTTGTTGTTGTAAGTAGTGCTTGTCTTGGCAGTAAAGACAGACTATAAATATATCTGGGCGTTGTAAATTGTAGTAAAAGATGTAATTGTGTTTGGCATTTGTATCATCTACCATTAAACTTATTCCCACAAAAGCTAACAGTACTAAATCATTTACTGACTTCACTTTCTAAAATTGGTGAACTTGAAACGGAAAAAAGTAGCCATTTAAGTACGATCTTCTTATTTCCTTTGATTGTTTCCGAACGACGTACGACAATCTTCCTGGAAAATATTTAAGAAAAGTTTCGTTGACTTTCCTCGACTGAAGTTCAGAGATAGTAGATAAATATATTTGTTGCTTGGAACATGAACGTGCGTTAATAAAAGTGCATTTCTATTTAATTGATTTTAACTTCAAACTTAAAGACCACCGGAAGGTTTTTAATGAAACACCTATATCATTTTTTCATTTTCCCCAAATAACCATTTTTTATTATTTTATTCAGCAGAATAACGTTTTCTAACCATAATTATTTTATAAGCCAGTTCACTTTAATTTACAGCTCTGGACCTCAATTCTCTTTCCATCTTTTAATCTAAATTTCAGATCAGAGCATATTTTATTAAAGTTTCTTTCCTCTTTTGTCTTCAAAGTTTTGCTGTAGGTGGTGCAGGTCATAATTGGTTCTTACCAATTATAATGCACTTATCTTTAAGTCACGAGTTGTCGAAGCCTAGTGGTTAGTGTGCACTAAAGCTCATCAAATCAAACTATGTTATTGTAATTTTGTATAAGGGCACCACTTTTTGCAGTTGCTACACAGACCACGCTTCGTTTCGACATATTTCTTGCATATCAGTCTTTAGATTTATAAGTCTTTGTGATTAACTTACTAATTCATATACGAACGCCAATTAAACAAAGCAGTTACATTTAACTGTTCTATTTGTACAGAAGTTCTAGTTTCTGTTTAAAGTGCTAACTCTTTTGTCAGTTCGACCACTTGTAATTATTAAGTTCTAGTAGATGAATTTCGAATTTCTGTTGGTGGTTTAAGAATGTGTAGGATATATTGCATCTTTTTATATATCTTTTATTATTATCTGTTTATTAGAAACTCTCTTGATGCTGGCTGCTCGACTAGAAAGCTCGTTTAACATCGAAGCTGTTGTAGACCCTATAGAAATAAGAATCTCGGAAGCCGTCATGAACTTTCAGGAAAACGGGCAAGTCGTGTCAGATATGGTGAGTGTAACTAGCATGAATTTTCGGTAGAACGGGCATGTCGTGTCAGATATGATGAGTGTAACTGACATGAACTTTCAGGAGGTCGTGTTAGATACGGTGAATGTCAACTGGCATGAACTTTCAGGAGGTCGTGTTAGATACGGTGAATGTCAACTGGCATGAACTTTCAGGTGATCGTGTTAGATACGGTGAATGTTAACTGGCATGAACTTTCAGGTGATCGTGTTAGATACGGTGAATGTTGACTGGCATGAACTTTCAGGAGATCGTGTTAGATACGGTAAATGTAACTGGCATGAACTTTCAGGTGATCGTGTTAGATACGGTGAATGTAACTGGCATGAACTTTCAGGAGGTCGTGTTAGATACGGTGAATGTCAACTGGCATGAACTTTCAAGAGGTCGTGTTAGATACGGTGAATGTAACTGGCATGAACTTTCAAGAGGTCGTGTTAGATACGGTGAATGTAACTGGCATGAACTTTCAAGA